TCAAGGCTAACGCTCTACCACTTGAACCATGGCCTCACTTCCGGTTTTCTGGTGGTTAATTGGAGGTAAGAGTTTCACGGACTTTCCTTCCCTGAGCTGGCTTTGAACTGTGATCTACAGATCTCAGCCTGCTGAGTAGCTAGGATTACAGGCATGAGCCATCAGTGCCTGGTTTTTTCTAACAAGGTATTTTAAAGTTCCTTAAGGAATATCAGTCCACCTAAAGTGTGAGGATCATGGTTTAAAGCCAACTCTGTCAGGAAAGTCTGTAAGAATCTTTATTTTTTCCCCCTTTTCCTTAATCAATCATGGGCTTGAAATCAGGGCCTAGGTGCTGTCCCTGAGCTCTTTTGCTCAACGCTAGCACTCTACCACTTTGAGCCATAGTGCCACTTCTGGTTTTCTGATAGTTTATTGGAAATAAGTGTCTCACAAAAACCGTGTGCCAGTGGCTCACACCTGTAATCCTAGCTACTCAGGAGGCTGAGATCTGAGGATTGCAGTTCAAAGCCAGCCCAGGTAGAAAAGCCACCATGAGATTCTTACCTCCAATTAGCCACTCAAAAACCAGAAGTAGCATTGTGGCTCAAGTGGTAGAGCACTAGCCTTGAGCACAAAGACGCTCAGGGACAGCACCGGGCCCTGAATCTAAGTCTCATGATCAGGGGAGGGGCAGTGAAGAGGAGGGGGAAAAGTCTCACAAACTTTCCTGCCCAGGCTAGCTTTGAATTGGGATCCTCAGATCTCAACTTCCTGAGTAGCTAGGATTACAGGTGTGAGCCACCAGTGCCTGGCCCCAGGAGACTCTTATTTCCAATTAACCACCTAAAAACCTGAAGTGCAGTGTGACTCAAAGTGATAGTACACTAGCCTTGAGCAAAAAAGCTTAGGGACAGTTCCCAAGCCCTGAGTTCAAGCCCCATGACTGACAAAAAAAAAAAAATCAGTCTTGCTATTCTTGTGAGGTGGTCAAGGAACAAATAAGATATACTTAAGCAGTAAATAAATAATATATATGTGTGTTAAATTAGCTGTATAGATGATTTATGAATTAATCACACACAAACATAATTTATTATCATGTACTGAATGTCCTCTCTAGTGCTTTCAGGGTTTGTGAATAGAGATTTGGTCCTCAGGAACTGGGTGACCATCCATCAGTTTCCACCATGTAGAATATCCCAGCCCCACACTCAGAATGCCAGGTCAGCATGTAACCAGCTCCATTGTGTGGACAGTTACAGTAGCACAAAGGCCTCAACAGAGCACAAGCCAGCCCAGCAGCCCCTTTGGCTAGCTCCAGAGGCCTCCCCGCCCCCTCCTCTCTCTTTCTCTGGTTATGCTTTGCTGACTGCTGACTCCTGGCAAAGCCTAGAACAATCACCAAGCTCTGAGTGCATCACCCCTCTCCCATCCATAGTTCAGAGATCCAATTAGCACTTAGATCATATTGAAATAGGGCAATCCAAGATGCAGAATAATCAAAGTATTATTATATCTTTATCCTTGCCTCTTGTTTCCTCTTTATTTTTAATACTTCTTTTAAATAATCTTACTATTTTTGTTGTTGTTATATGTTTCTGAAGAATTGAACCCAGGGCCTAATACATGCTAGGCAAGCACTCTACCACTAAGCCACCTTCCCAGTCCCATCTCTTTCCTTTCTAGGGAGTTAGATAAAACCTAAAGCAAGGCAGAACAATGGTCAGTATGGGTCTTCATATGTGTTACCTTCACATTGGTATTCCCTAAGGTTGTGCCTTCAGTTTGTTTCCTCTAATCTATACACTTTTTTTTTTTTCAGTTATGAGGCTTGAACTCTGGACCTGGGCGCTGTCCCTCAGCTCTTTAGCTGAGGTTCTGAGTGACTTATTGGAGATAAGAATCTCACAGACTTTCCTGCCTGGGCTGGCTTTGAACCGAGATCCTCAGATCTCAGCCTCCTGAGTAGCTAGGATTACAGGCATGAGCTACCAGTGCCCGCTAGTCTGTCTATTCACTTTCATTGGATGACTTCATCAACATTTTCATGTGGTTTTCCATAGATACCTCAAATTCAGCCTATCTAAACTTAACTAATTATCTTTTCACATTCCAACATGCCTCTTCTTCCTTATCCCCTTAGTCAGAAACCATGAATCCCAGGGCTGGGAAGGTGGTTCAGTGGTAGAGCGCTTGCCTTGCATGCATAAGGCCCTGGGTTCGATTTCTCAATACCACATAAGCAGAAAAAAAAGCTGGAAGTGGCACTGTGGCTCAAGTGGTAGAGTGCTAGCCTTGAGAGCTGAAGAGCTGAGGGACAGCGCCTAGGCCCAGAGTTCAGGCCCCACGACCGGACCCCAAAAAAAAAAAGAAAAGAAAAGAAACCATGAATCCTTTTCCAGCTAATCAGTCACCAGCTCTTCTCTAATTCTACCAAGTTAGACAGATGAGCTCATACCATACCTTCTCTGAGAACTCTGGTGTCTACAGACCCTGTTTGTCTCTGACCGCTCCAATTCATGCCCCATGCTGCTACCACCTTTACCTTTCTAGGAGGACGTGCAATCTGTCATTTCTGTATTTCTGCAACAGTTCCTGAATGCCTGGGGAGAGTTTAAGCTCATATCATAGCATATATAGCCTTCAGGATAGAGCTTCTCTCATGCCCCAACATACAACTGTGAAAACATGTGTTCCTTGTATTCCCTCAGGCACTCACTCTGTTTCATAATCCAGTGCTTTAGCCTAAGCTGTTCTCTCTACCTGAAATGTCCTTTTGTCTGTCAAGAAAAAAAAACCTATCACTTCTAAAATTCTATCACTGCATGAAAATGTTAAAATAATTTACTTAATAATGAGGCATGTAAATGATCTGAATTATAGAAGTAAATTTATTAGATGAATGGCTAGTCTATAAAAGTAAAATATTGGACTGGGAATGTGGCTTAGTGGTAGAGTGCTTGCTTGCATGCATGATGCCCTGGCTTCGATTCCTCAATACTACATAAGTAGAGAAGGCTGGAAGTGGTGCTTCAACTCAAGTGGTAGAGTGCTAGCCTTGAGCAAAAGAAGCTCACAGACAGTGCCCACGCCCTGAGTTTAAGCCCCAGGACTGCTGAAAGAAAAAAAGAGAGAGAGGAAGGAAGGAAGGAAGTGCAGAAATGCACTCTTTATCTGACTTATGTAATTGTTACTCCTCTGTACATAACCTTTTCAATAACATTTTTTTTTAATTGCCTGAACTCTGGGCCTGGGCGCTGTCCCTCAGCTCTTCAGCTCAAGGCTAGCACTCTACCACCTGAGCCGCAGTGCCACTTCTGGCTTTTTCTGCTTATGTGGCGCTTAGGAATCGAACCCAGGGCCTCATACATGCAAGGCAAGCGCTTTACCACTGAGCCACCTTCCCAGCCCCACCCCACCCCCAATTTTTTTAAGTAAAATGATATGACAGGCAAATTTATTCTGAGTAAGGAATAATGGAGGTGTCTTAAGTGACAAATAGTGTGTATCTATTGTTTTAACTCTCATGTCACCTTGTTCTTTATTATGAAAATAAAAAGCACTGATAGACCAGCTGAAGCAATTTCACCTTCTAGCATTTTCCTCATAAAAGCAGCAAAACTTGTTTCTCACATTTAGCTGGCTGATAGTTTGGCCAGACTGAACCCTGGTGGAAAGAATAGGCTACTGCACACTGAAGATGTATGCATACAACTCCCTTTTCTACTCTGTCATTTTTTATTAAAAAAAAAAATGTGTGACTAGGAACATGGCTCAAGTGGTAGAGTACCTGTCTACTGTCTACTTATAAAAGAGGAATATGTAAATGCTTGCCACAATTCATCTGTGGGTGAATAAAGACAATATTCCAAATTAAGTGGTTATTTTGATAAATGATGATCTTTGAAGCAAAACAGTAGTTTTCAACTGGAAGATCAGTTGGTTTTGTGTGTCACACTTTTCAGGACAGATAAGTTTTTAATGTAGGCCAAACAGACTAAAGTTGTACTGTTTGGTATTTGTGTTTAGGTTCTACAGAAAGGAATTAGTAAAGACACCTATGCAGAACTGGGAATGTGGCTCAGTGGTAGAGTGCTTGCCTAGCATTCATGAAGCCTTGGGTTCCATTCCTAAGTACCACATAAACAAACAAGTGGTAGAGCACTAGCCCTGAGCAAAAGAAGCTTAGAGATAGTGCCCAGGCCCTGAGTTCAAGCCCCAGGACTGGCAGAAGGAAAGAAAGAAAGACACCTATGCAATAAGTATCTCCAAGGCAACTCACTCAACAATTGAAAATCCTCCTAATTACTGAGAAACTAGTGTGTGGTGATGGTGGTAGAAAAGAAAAGCTCTCTGTTTCTGGAGAGACTAACTTTAAAAAATACCTAAATAGGGGTTGGGAAGGTGACTCAGTGGTAGAGTGCTTGCTTTGCATCCATGAGGCCCTGGGTTCGATTCCTCAGCACCATATAAGCAGAAAAAGCCAGAAGCGGCGCTGTGGCTCAAGAGGTAGAGCACTCGCCTTGAGCTGAAGAGTTGAGGGACAGCGCCCAGACCCAGAGTTCAGGCCCCGTGACCAACAACAACAACAACAAAGAATGAAAGAAAGAAAAAAAGAAACCCTCTCTTCCCACCCCTCCAAAAAAAAAAACAAACCCACAAAAACCTAAATAGCAGCCACATGCCCATGACTCATGCCTGGACCCTGAGTGCCCAGGCCCTGAGTCCTAGCCCCGGGATCAGCACATGCATAACTTCTAAGCCTCTGGTTATTGTTCTAAGAGTCAAATACAAACAGCACTTCCCCACTCACACACCGTAAGTAAACAAAAGAACGGAAACACCCTTCAAAGAGCAGAAGAAACTGAGCAGGAAACCATTAAGATGGCGACGCCCGCCTCCGGTCCTGGCTTCTCACGTCATCAGGCTGCGCGGCCGCCTGGCGCATCACGTGGTCTGGGCGCAGGCCGCCCGGGGGCCGGGCCTCCCGCATGGGGGCGTGCCCCGTGCATCCGTGGCGTAAGATGGCGCTGCCCTTGGCGCGGTTGTGCCGCTGGGGAGCCAAACGATGGGGGGCTGCAGCCGGGGAGGCCCGGAGAGGTAGGGTCGTTATCTCCTTTTGCTCTCTTTTACTTCGGAAGCACTTTCCACCTCTTATTTCCCGAGCCAAGAACGCCAGGCCCCTGGAACCACGTCCCCCCCCCCCACCTGCCTCAGTCCAGAGTCTCAGCTTTGCGCATCCTCTGATTTCTGCCGAGGCTTGCTTAGTCTGAGTTGTTGGCTCGTCGCGTTGTCGTATGATCGCCACCCTACTTCACTCTTGCCATCTTGGCATTCTGACTCCCCTGCTTCCTCGTGATCCGACTGCTGGCTTCAGATCAGAATCTGGAGATCAGCAGTCTTAAGCCTAAGCCTTTGTGATATCCAGTCCTTTTTTTTTTTTTTTTTGCTTTGCCCGCAGGCGTCAGTTTCAAACTGGAAGAAAAAACCGCCCACAGCAGCCTGGCACTCTTCAAGAAGGACACAGGTGTCAAATATGGCTTAGTGGGATTGGAGCCCACTCAGGTGGCCCTGAATGTGGAGCGCTTCCGGGAGTGGGCAGTGGTGTTGGCAGACACAGCGGTCACCAATGGCAGACACTACTGGGAGGTGACAGTGAAACGGTCCCAGCAGTTCCGTATAGGAGTGGCAGATGTGGACATGTCCCGTGATAGCTGCATCGGTGTCGATGACCGTTCCTGGGTGTTCTCCTATGCCCAGCGCAAGTGGCATACCATGTTGGCCAACGAGAAAGCCCCAATTGAGGGAATTGGGCAACCAGAGAAGGTGGGGCTGCTGCTGGAGTATGAGGCCAAGAAGCTGAGCCTGGTGGATGTGAGCCAGGTCTCTGTGATACACACGCTACAGACAGATTTTCGGGGTCCAGTGGTGCCTGCTTTTGCCCTTTGGGATGGAGAGCTGCTCACTCACTCAGGGCTTGAAGTGCCAGAGGGTCTCTAGCATGCCCATTACTGAAGTCCCTTATCATGCTTTTTGGCCAGCCTTGAGTTAAAAATGTCAGATGTTTTACTTTGCCCCAAAGAATTCAGTAGCTCCACAATTCAGTATCAGGTCCTCTGTTCCGTCCTGTGAAAACTAGGCATACCGCCAAGCTTTCCCCTCAGATTACTGCCATTTCTCTAAATTACAGGGGGTTTATTTTCCCTGTCTTGATTCCTTTGGCCCCTCAGACTGTTCAGTCCTGGAACCTTGCCTTTTAGTACTGTTCCAGTATATTAACCGTGATACCTCTCTTTTCCTTACCCACATGTTGTGTTTGGGGGGCTCACCAGATCTCTCCAGAGTGAATTGTTTCTACCTCTGATTGCAGGGGTGGTACAGTGACTTGCCTTTTCTCTACAGCACCTAAAAAGTCTAGGCTCTAGCTCCTTGGGTACTTTATTGACTCAGTGGGTCAGTGAGAAGGTATTCCTCCCCTAGTACCTCAGTGCCATAGACCCTCAGCCCCACACAGCTGCAGCTATCCTAAACCAAGTCCAGCTACCTTCATTCATGTACCTCTGACAACCAGCCAGTTTGTCATTGTGCCAGTAACAGCTTTTACCAAAGGGGAAGAGACTCTAGGGGGATAGCTAAAGGATTAGATCCAGAAGCTTTATTCTTTTTTTTTGGTTGGTTGTAGGGCTTGAACTCTGGGCCTGGGAACTGTCCATCAGCTCTTCAGCTCAAGGCAAGCACTCTACCATTTGAGCCACAGTGCCACTTCTAGTTTTCTGAGTGGTTTATTGGAGATAAGAGTCTCACAGACTTTCCTGCCCAGGCTGGCTTTGAACGGTGATCCTCAGATCTCAGCCTTCTGAGTAGCTAGAATTACAGGCATGAGCCACCAGCGCCAGGCTAGAAGGTTTATTCTTAAGAAGTTCCTCTTCATATCACTATAATTGAAACTTCCTGAGGAAAGGAGACTAGAGTTTTGCATAATCCAGTTTTTGGCCTATGTAGACCCAAACCCTCATGTCTACTTGGCAACAGGATATACTTAACCTAAAGCAGTATTGGGGGGTTGAGGAAAACCTAGTGGAACAAATAAATAAATAATAAATATATATATATGAAATATGAATTGTTTGGGCTTTGCTAGACCCCGTGGTTCTACCTTATTTTACCTTCTATGATGGTGATGAAATTAGAAACCCTAGGGGAAAAAGAATGACTTAATTTTAACAAAAATCATTTGTGTAATTAAAGTTTATTTGAGCACAAAATACTTTCTCTGTCTATAAAATTGCTGTTAGCAGTAGCAGCAGCGTGTCCTGGCTGTGGGGTCAGACTCAGACTACTAAATCTAGATGCACTGGCACCTCCTTCTTCTTCTCTGTGATACACACAAGGGCATGGTCCTTTCTTTGAAGTCTCTCTCTTGTGATGGTTTCTTCAGGGAGAGAAAGGGGACCTGTTATGGTTTTTTAGTGGGCCAAGCTATTAGATTATACTTGTGTTTCTGTGGATAGCTCTACTGCAGGTGTCCACTGAGGACCTTCTCTGTGCTCTGTTCATAGAGGGATGGGGTGTTTTGACTCGCACAGAAAGTACTGGCTTGTATCACCAAATGGCCTTGGTTCCCACGGAAGCATCTCTCCTATTATTCCTGGTGGTTGCATGGGTGAGGTATGTGGCCAGCTCATGCTTTTCCTTGAACAGGGTCTGTCCATGACCTGTGCTCACACCATGCTCTCTAAGTTCTCTTTGGACAGGGTCTCAGCTGCTGCCTCAGCCTGAGTTTCAGAGAGTGTGTAGGAGTCCTGATAATCTTGAAGTAGTTTGACCACCTCCAGGTGATTGAATTGCACAGCATCATCCAGAGGAATGTTGCCCCACCTGACAGAACAGTGAACATGATTAGGCAAAGAAGACACAGGGAATGCCATAGTTGTATCATGTGCACAGTGGCTGGTGGCTGGGGAGGTGGTGGTGATGAGGTTGTACCATTGTCCTCACTTTTAGCCTAATCTTACTCACCGGTCCTTGGCAAAAGGATTTACTTTGCAAGCCTCGATCAGGAATTTAACAACTTCAGTGTGTCCTAGGAATATGGGCAGAAGAAAATGAGAGGAAGGGCTGGGAATGTGGCTTAGTAGTAGAGTGCTTGCCTAGCATGCATGAAGCCCTGGATTCGATTCCTCAGTACCACATAAACAGAAAAAGCTGGAAGTGGTGCTGTGGCTCAAAAGGTAGCATGCTAGCCTTGAGCAAAAGCAGCTCAGGGACAGTGCCCAGGGCTGGCCAAAAAAAAAAAAAGGGGGGGGGGAGGAAGGAAAGAAACAAAGAAAGAAAAAAGAAAAAAATAAAAAAAGAAAGTGAGAGGAGGATATGGGTCCTGAACTCTGGTATAGACCTTTGGCAACTGGAGTCTACATAAGAGGGTTAGAGAAAAGGCCTTGGGATTTTGCTGCTAATACTAATAGTATAACTATACATATAATGGGACACTTTCAGTAGGAAAGAAAGGGTCTCACACGCTGCCTCCCCTCTTCTACCCTTTAGGTACCTTCAGCAGCAGCAACATGCAGGGCTGTGCGGGAGTCATAGTCTTTCTGTTCCATATCCATAGCTGACAAAGCAAACCTGAGGATAGTGGAAAGCAGCTAGAGTTATCCCAATCAGTCGAGAATCCTCTGTATCCTTTCTGTAGTTGGGTTAGATTGGATGGGATTCAGGAAAAGTAAAATGATTAATGCTAATATCTGTGGCTGTGTATAATGTGTTCTGTAACTTGTAAGATGTCCCATCCCACTGTCAGTATGGGAGTGTGATGTTTCCAGGAGGATCCCTGGCACCTAGTTATAGTGTATATTTGTTGGTGTTGGTAATCCACTTGAGAGGGGATCCTTGCCTCCTAGGACCATGCTCTTAGCATTCAATGAACAGTGACTGCCACTAATTAAGTATTTACATGGCTGGCATTTTGCTTTCTGTCGCATATAAATGCAATCTGTGGCTAGGAATGTGACTGAGTGGTAGAGTGCTTGCCTAGCATGCAGGAAGCCCTGGCTTTGATTCCTCAGGACAGTCCTGACTTCAAGCACCAGGACTGGCAAAAAAAAAAAAAAGTAATCTCTGTCTATTCTGGCTAACCCTAAAGTTGGTGTAATTTAACTGTCTTGGTATGTTACCTCCTAATAAGATCTCTGACTTGTATTTTATTGTGTATATCTGATATACAGTAGAGTTACCTCCGAAGAGCTGAGACATCTCCACTATAGGCAGCAAACAACAGGTTCACCACTGTCTTGTTCTGGAACACAAATACCCCACCTGAGATTAACTGGCTTTGAGTACACCCAGGCCCAGCTCTACCTTGTAACCCTTCTCCATGGATGTTTAGTCAAGGGTATTGGTGAAATGTAACAGATTATTTTGTTCTGAGAAATCCTACCGAGCCATCCGAGGTTTTCCTTACCCGAACTTCTCCGCCTTCACGCCGTGGGTCTAACTTCCGAGCACAGTGCCTCAGGTTGTCATAGTTGTGAAAATTAAAAAGAGACACCAACTTCTAGAATTGTAAGTCAGAGATGTAACAATAACTTGTCCAGTTGCACTGGGTAGGAGCTCAAAATTGCTTTGTTTGCTTAAAATAAAGTTGCTATCATTAACTTGTTGCTTAATTGATAAATATTAAGTAGGACACACAGAGCCACTCACCTGGCAGAAGCTGATGCCCCTTTGGCTGTTCCCCAGTTTGTCCAATGGTGGGGATAGACACATCATTCCCATGACATTGGGTACCACCAGGAGGATGGCTCCTGACACAGCTGACTTGGCAGGCAGGCCCACCTAGAGAACAGATTAGATGCTGAAGATAAGCTGTGGGTTGCTCAAATAGGGAAACAAATAAGGCAGGCTATTTGAAGTGTCTGCACAGACAAGGCCACAATCCACCTTAACCTTTGGGCTTATTAATTAACTTCTTTTCTCAATGCCATCCTCCCCCAGTCCATGGATAGTTAGGAAATGCTTATTGAAATATTACTGATAGTATGCTTACTGGATACTGTGCTGAAACTAGTGCAAAGTTTTTCATGTAACTTACATTCTGGGGGTAAGAGACAGGCAATTGATAAAAATAATTCTGATCAACCCTAAGAAATAGAGTGCTGTGACGAGGGAGAGGCAGATTTGTTTGAAAAAGGGCAGTCAGAAAAGCTTCTGCTAGGGCTGCAGATACAGCTCAGTGGTCCAGTCAGAAAAGCTTCTGCTAGGGCTGCAGATACAGCTCAGTGGTCCAACACAATGAGGCTTGGCTTCCATTGCCAGTGCCAGATACACTAAAAATAAACCTCTCCTTAGAGGTGATACGTAAGCTGAGATGCAGAGGAGAGCCAGCCTTGTGAAGGCTTACCCAGGAGTGACTCATGTGCCTACATATTTGAGGCTGCAGGCTTGTGAATGGGAAGCAGAAACAAGCTTCCGCTTCAGAGACCAGTGTCTTCTCTTCCTGACCTTGGGTGTATGACAGATGAGTGACAGGGCAGAAACACTCACGTGGAAAGCAAATTGGCCAGAGAAGTCATACATGCCACAGGAATGCATGAGGCTGAGGGTGTTGCGCACAGCTTCAGCGCTCAGCACGCTCTCGCCTGTGATGGGGCAGATTCCTCCATTGGCCAGAGTGGCTGCCATGACACTGCCTGATTCACAAGTGACCTCCACGGAGCACAACTATAGATACAAGGGACAGGTGATCAGGCAGAGTAGACAGGAACCATGTTCTGGGACAACAAGATCTTCCAAGTTCCTTTGGGGTTTCTGACAGAACCACCAGAGAGGAGTGTCTGTGGTGTGAGTCAGAGGGCAGTCCTGTTTCCTCAGCCCTGAGAATGCTTTACTTACCTGGAAGTAGAGATCGAGGGCAGCCATCATGTCCACCCCCTTGGGAAAGCACTGCAAGGAAGAGAGGGGAGAGCATTCTGTTCAAGCTGCACATTGACACTGCCATGGTCTTGGGTGATACCCCAATCCCAACTGCCTTCAGCCACCAGAATTCCCAGGGACTTTGTCTACTGGCTTCTCCCAGTTACCTTCTTTTCCTTGAGATAGTAGCCGATGGCATAATTCCGGTCCCCCGTTTCCTTCTCTGACTGGAATCTGAAGCAAACACCCAATTTAGTACTTGAAACTTGAGAGGTATGGGGAGAAGGAAAAACTACTTGCCTGAGAGGCAGAACTGCATCATATGTGCTACAGTGAATGAGCCCCCTTCTAACTTCTCACAATATTAGTAAATGTATGAGTCTAAGCAAACACTCTCATAGCTTTGTTGTAAAATGTGTACTAAACAAAAATCACCAAAGGTACCCAGCCATTTAGTTAAGAAGCCTGGTGGGTCTTGACAAGGACTTCAGCACAAACACTACACTGCCTCTCATTTCATAATGATTAGAAATGGAACAAATTATTTCAGAAAGGAAACAAATGCCAACGAAGGGGCTCAGAGGAAGCTAGGAGGCCAAGGATCCCCTAGAATCTCTCTCCTCTCACCCCCCCCCATCTACACACAACACTATAGTGTGTTCAGCCAGTCTTCTACATAGGGCCTTACGTGGCATTGCTGAACCCCATGAATTCATTCCCAGCCATTTTGTTCAGATATTGCAACACCTGGAAGAGAAGAGAGGCAAGGCAAGAGCCACTTGACTAAGGATCCCTACTAAACACATCCCAGGCTGACTAGCCCTTATGAACCAGATCCATTTGGAGCATGTCTCAGGTTTGCTTATAAAGGGCAGGGACATCCACAGGCTTTTCTCTATGAGACCAACAGTTTCCCATTTCTGGGACATAGGGCTTCTAATGTGAGCTGGTGCACATGATGCTGAGCTTAGAGCCAGGCACTTGGGGCAGCTGGGGAGGTCAGCATGCCATGGAGAAAGGCAGCCAAGAGCTAAGTAGCAAAGAACTTACAAAATCAAACTTCTCTGCTTTGTTGCAGTCCATCTGCAGAGAAAGAGAGAGATGTCAGTATGTCAGTCCTAGAAGGATACCAGAGGCAGGGTCAGAAGGATTTAAGTTTTAGACTAGCCTTGCTACTATGAGTGTGTGTGTGTGTGTGTGTGTGTGTGTGTGTGTATTTTCAAGACTCAGAGTGTTGCCCTGAGCTCTTTAGCTCAAGGCTAGTAGTTCTCTACCACTTGAGCCACAGTGCCGCTTGGTTTTCTGGTGGTTAATTGGAGATAAGGATTCTTGCCTGGGCTGGCTTTGAACCACGATCCTCAGATCTCAGCCTCCTGTGTAGCTAGGATTACAGGCGTGAGCCACCAGTGCCCAGCAAATGTGTTAATACTTTACAATGGCTTTTTTTTTTTGGTCATCATCGTCGTCGTGGGGCTTGAGCTCTGGGCTTGGGCGCTGTCCCTGCCCTCTTCAGCTCCAGGTGAGTGCTCTACCCCTTAAGCCACAGCGCCACGTCCCATTTTCTAGTGGTTTATTGGAGATAAGAGTCTTAGGACTTTCCTGCCAGGGCTGGCTTTGAACCGTGATCCTCAGATCTTAGCCTCCTCAGTAGCTAGGATTACAGGCGTGAGCCACCGGCGCCCAGCTTGGCTTTTCTTTTTGTTTTCTTGGATGGTCTGCAGGTAGTGAACTCAAGTGATTCTCCCATCTCATTCATGGGTAGCTAAGACAACATGCCTGGTGCTTAAAAAACAAAACAAAACTGGGCACTGGTGGTTCACATCTGTAATCCTAGCTATTCAGGAGAATGAGATCTGAGGATTGTGGTTTGAAGCCTGGACAGAAAAGTCTCCATGAGACTCTTACCTCATTAAACTATTCAGAAAAAGCCAAAAGTGGCACTGTGGCTCAAGTGATAGAGCTCTACCCTTGAGCACAGAAAGGCTCAAGGACAGCACCAAGGCCCTGAGTTCAAGCCCATAACCATCCAAAAAAAAAACAAACACAAACACAAAAACAACAACACCAACAAAAAAAACCCTTAATACCTAGTATGTAACACATGCATATATGTAGTTAGTGATCTTGGTTTTTTGTTTTTTTGTTTTATTGTTGGTCATGGGGGTGGAACTCTGGGCTTGAGTGCTGTCCCTTCAGCTTAAGGCTAGCACCCTACCGCTTGAGCCACAGTGCCACTTCCAGCTTTTTGTTGTTGTTGCTTATGTGGTACTAAGGAATCAACCACAGGGCCTCATGCATGCAAGGCAAGCAATCTACCACTGAGCTAACTTCCTAGCCCTAGTTAGTGATCTTAAAAATCAAACCATTAAGCTGGGTGTCTGTGGCTCATGCCTGTAGTCCTAGCTACTCAGGAGGCTGAGATCTGAAGATTGTGGTTCAAAACCAGCCAGGACAGCAAAATTGAGACTCTTATCTCCAATTAACCACCAAAAAGCTAGAAGTGGAGCTGTGGCTCTAGTGGTAGAGCACTAGCCTTGTGCTCAAGAGCTCAGGGACAATGCCCAGGCCCTCAGATCAAGCCCCAGGACATACACATACAAATCCGGTGCCAGTGGTTCACACTTATAATCTTAGCTACTCAGAAGGCTGAGATCTGAGGCTCACAGTTCAAAGCCACCCTGGGCAGGAAAATCTACTGAGACTTATTTCCAGTTAACCACTAAAAATTGAATATGGACCTATGGCTCAAGTGATAGAGCACTAGTCTAACCAGTGTGGTGGCTCACACCTATAATCCTAGCTATTCAGGAGACTGAGATCTGAGGATCTTGGTTCACAGGCATCCCAGGTAGGAAAGTCTGTGGGACTCTCATCTCCAATTAACCACCAGAAACTGGAAGTGGAGCTGTGGCTCAAAGTGGTAGAGCACTAAGTTGAAGCCCCGCGACCTACCAAAAAACAAACAAACAAAAACCAGAGAAACATCATGCCAGGTGTGGTAGTATACTCCTGTAATTTCAGCTACTCTAAAGGCAGAGAGTGGGAGGATCTTGTTTCAAGGCCAGTCTGGGGGAGAAAAAAGTAAGGGAGATTTTTAGCTAAACCAGTAAGTTGAGTCTAGTGTTGAGTATCTGTGGTCTCAGCTACAGGCATACAGGTACATGTAGGTAGGAGAATTGCAATCCAAAACCTGCCCTGGGCAAAAAATTCAAGCCAATTAAGTTGGGCTGGGGTATAGCTCAAGTAGTAGAGCACCTGCCTATCAAAATTTCAAGGCCCCAGTTCAAAACCCTAGTACCACAAAACAAAAAAGTAAAAAAAAAAAAAAAACTGGGCTGGGAAGGTGGCTTAGTGGTAGAGTGCTTGCCTTGCATGCCTGAGGCCCTGGGTTCAATTCCACAGCACCACATAAGCAGAAAAAGCCAGAAGTGGCGCTGTAGCTCAAGTGGTAGAACACTAGCCTTGAGCTGAAGAACTGAGGGACAGCACCCAGGTCCAGAGTTCAGACCCCATGACTGACAAAAAAAAAAAAAAAAAAAGTAAAAAAATAAGTTCAAAAAGAGAAGGCTGGGGGCATGGCTCAAGTGGTAAAGCACTTGCCTTTGGAAGTACAAGACTCTGAATTCAATCCTAGTAACACCAGAAAAAAAAAAAAAAACTAGTATCAAGCCGGGCACTAGCTACTTAGGAGTCTGAGATCTGAGGATCAGAGTTCAAGCCAACCGCAGCAAATACATTGAGACTCCTATCTCTAATAAACCACCAGAAAACTGGAAGTGGCTCTGTGTGGCTTCAGTGGTAGAGTGCTGACCTTGAGCTGAAGAGCTCAGGGATAGCACCCAGGCCCAGAGTTCAAGACCCATGACTGACAAAAATCTCTCTCTCTCTCTCTCCCTTCTCTCCCCCCCCCCTGCCCGGGACTAGAACTTAGAGCCTGGGTGCTGTCCTTGAGTTTCTTTTGCTCAAGGCTAGCACTCTACCACTTGAGCCACAGTGCCACTTCCAGCTTTTTCTGTTTATGTGGTACTGAGGAATGGAAACCAGGGTTTCATGCATGCTATCTATATATAAATAAATATATAGAGATAGATAGATAGACAGACAGACAGACAGATATCAAAGAATCAACTGAGTGAGCATGGTGATACACACTTATTAGCCAAGCACTTGGGAAGCTGAGGCAAGAGGATCAAGAGTTTGAGGCCAGCCTGGACTACTTAAGGAGAGCCTGTCTCAACCTCATTCATACATGAGCCTGACTCCTCCTGAGGCTTATCTTTACTTCCTTTTTTTTTTTTGTTGTTGTTGTTGGTCATAGGGTTTGACACTGAGCTTAGACACTGTCACTTACCTTTTATGCTCAAGGATAGAGCTCTATCACTGAGCCACAGCTCCATTTCTGGTTTTCTGGTGGTTAGCTGGAGGTAAGAGTCTTAGACTTTCTTGCCCAGGCTGGCTTTGAATCATGAGCCTCAGATCTCAGCCTGCTGAGTAGCTAGGATTACAGGCGTGAGCCACTAGTGCTCACCTTTACTTCTTCTTTTTTTTTTTTTT